ACAAGATAATGTCGTCAATCATAACATGTAATCTATAACTCATACGTGACTTTTGTCCTCTACGACCATACTACAAGATAATGTCGTCAATCATAACATGTAATCTATAACTCATACGTGACCTTTGTCCTCTACGACCATACTACAAGATAATGTCTTCAACATTTTGATAATGTACTGCCATATTTCTACTGCAGGAAAAATTAAAAACATTAAATAAAAGCTCAGTTAATAAACGTTTCTTGTTAAAACTTCACTGTCAGTACGAATAAAATTCACTATGTTTGTATCAACTGTGTTATATTGTGACGAGATTTTGTCTAGATCTTTTCCTGTAAATTACTGAAACTAAACTAAAATCCTTTACTATTCAAAAACCACCGAATTGTTTGGATGTAAAAAGATATGATATTGGCTTTAGTAATGTACAAGAATAGTGTTCAAATTAATATAACTCTAATTTTAATTATAATGTTTTCTTTTGAATCTAAGCTACCAATCTCATTTTCTGTACTCAAAAAAAAAAAATCTATGTTCATAAATATCTGTAACAAATAAATATAACAGAATTTGTACACTATCTAGCCCGTATTCTTCAGTAAATGTTCTGGCAAACTTAATCATTGCAATAAAATTTTATTAAAAGTAATATTCAATTATGAGATTAAATACTCTTTAAAACTCTTACCCTGTTGGTAATATTAAAAAAAAAGGAAATTAAAAGTGTGTAAAACCTATTTATGTTTTTAAACTCATCTTGGATTTCTTGTAATTTTCAATAAACAGTTACCCAACCACTGCAACATATTATCCTTGCTTTTTTTTATCTTCACCCTACTACACAGTTTCTAAAATTTATTTCCTTTCTCTGTATGGAAACACTAATAACAATAATAATGGTTATCTAAAAATTCATTCTTTCACTGGCATATTCATGCAAACTGTAAAATCAGCTTTAAATTACCATACTGTGTGCTAGTTCTATTTCTGTGCATGTTTTTCATTAAGCAGCTACACAAAGGGGTTATCTAGCTTGTGCTGTTATAACCAGTCTAGCTGAAAGAACATATACTGCCATCTACCATCATAAAAGCTCTCTACTCTTTTATCAACACTCAACTAGACATAAATAGATTTTCAAAAGTGAAAAACGGAAACACTTGTGCTGCTAGAAACACACTTTGAAGGATCCAGCTTACATCACTAGAAGTGTGAAGTAAAATATTTAAATATTCCACCCAAGCCACAGGCAGCTGTGTGGTGTAAACCCTGTGTGATATTTCAGCCATGTATAGTGGCAGTTTTGACTCAACCAGATCCTGAAATATGTAAAATCTATACATAGTTATTTTGTGAACAGTTTTCTTATACCCCTAATCATGAATGCAGCAAGTTCTTGTATTCTGTATATTCACTGGAAGCACCACTGCCTTCTCTAGAAAAAACTGGATTGTTCTCCTCATTCTCATTATTGGTAACAGTTGGTACAGGCTCTACAATCTCTACTGGAGGAGTAGCTAAATCCTGTTCATTCCCTGCATACTGCAAAAAAACAACACAGAAAAGAAAAGAACAATAACTTTACTTAGTAAACAAGTTGTCTTATGTGTACTTTAAATATAACATTGTGTACTCCTAAGGGAATTCTGCCTAAAATGTAACACTGTAGGTTCATATACAGTATTAACTGCAACTACTTAGTGTTTCTAGATGAAAACCAACATTTATTGTCAGGAAGTATTTTCCAGCTGCATGGAATTATTAATTTCTCTAAACATTTTCTGAACACCGTAAACCTATAAATATGAATAGTTTCTAGTCAAAGCTTTTCTTCGGCTTTGTTCCTACACTTTGCTAAACAGAGAGAATTAGGAGGAGTTATTCTTACAAGTTAAAGACAAATATAATGCATTAGATATAAGTTGTTTCTGAAACAAAATTAAAAATTATTTTCAAAGAGGTATTCAATTTTCAACAACAAAATAATAATAAAATACATTATTTCAAACTATTAAGTTACACTAACTAGCCACTTTGGTAGGACCTCCATCATCTACAGTTTTGTAGAGTATTCCATTTTTGGTATATGCAAAACAGTGAATAAGAGCAAGGGTCACTCTCAATTTCATATAGGCATGACAGTTGATTGGTTATTTTATAAGAACATCACTTTTGTGAAACACCATTTCTTTGTCTGACTGTTCAAAGATATTTGTAATCAGCTCTAAGAACAGTGGTAATGAAAAGAATATGTCTATCACTTGAAAAGCCTGACCAGTAGCTGTTGGTGACAGACCAAAGAAAAGATGTTTGGACTTGCTTGTACATTGTAAGAGATATTAGATTGTACCCCAATTAATTGATTTGTTAGACAGTGGCCACCATTCATACAGCTGATTATCTCTTAATTGTAACATGTTAAGTCATAAACCAAAACCAGTCCAAATACTACTTACCTCCTATACAACACTGTCATACACCAAAACCAGTTCAAATACTACTTACCTCCTATACAACACTGTCATACAGCAAAACCAGTCCAAATACTACTTACCTCCTATACAACACTGTCATACAGCAAAACCAGTCCAAATACTACTTACCTCCTATACAACACTGTCATACAGCAAAACCAGTCCAAATACTACTTACCTCCTATACAACACTGTCATACACCAAAACCAGTCCAAATACTACTTACCTCCTATACAACACTGTCATACACCAAAACCA